GATGCAAAATCCTTTCTTTTTTCTGCTGATGAAGCAGCTGTTCATGTGACAAGATGCTATTTGACATCTCTCAGCTTCAACTCATCGGCACCCAATGTCCTTGCTTTTCATCATTGGTCATGTGTCGATGCAAAAATCCTTTCCTTTTCTGCTGATGAAGCAGCTGTTCACATGTGACAAGATGCTATTTGACATCTCTCAGCTTCAACTCATACGGCACCCAATGTCCTTGCTTTTCATCATTGGTCATATCTGATGCAAAATCCTTTCTTTTTTTCTGCTGATGAAGCAGCTGTTCACATGTGACAAGATGCTATTTGACATCTCTCAGCTTCAACTCATACGGCACCCAATGTCCTTACTTTTTATCATTGGTCATAATACAATGCAAAAATCCTTTCCTTTTCTGCTGATGAAGCAGCTGTTCATGTGACAAGATGCTATTTGACATCTCTCAGCTTCAACTCATCGGCACCCAATGTCCTTGCTTTTCATCATTGGTCATGTCGATGCAAAAATCCTTTCCTTTTCTGCTGATGAAGCAGCTGTTCACATGTGACAAGATGCCATTTGACATCTCTCAGCTTCAACTCATACGGCACCCAATGTCCTTGCTTTTCATCATTGGTCATAATACAATGCAAAAATCCTTTCTTTTTCTGCTGATGAAGCAGCTGTTCACATGTGACAAGATGCCATTTGACGTCTCTCAGCTTCAACTCATACGGCACCCAATGTCCTTGCTTTTGAATCATTCCTAATGGTTTCAAACATTTCGAAACTGTTGTGTGATCAACTCCTAATGATTCTACAAGTTCAACTGGCGCCTGACATGAGTCTTCATGAAATTATGCCCCCAATTTTTCAAACTTTTTCAGTGCGCCAGAACGTTCTTTATCTTCAACATGAAAATCATTATTTTTATAGCATTTAAACCAATCTCTGCATGTTGTTTTCAACAGAGCATGGTTGCTGTAAGTCTCAACAAGAATTCTGTGTACTTTAGCTGCAGATATCTTTTGAATAAAGTAGTGCAGTAAAACAAATACACTTTCTTTGGCACAAAATCTAACATGTTTAATGCTATGAAAAAAAGTTTTTTACACTTTGGTGAAATGACATACACTGAATTTCAAGCTTGCTTATAGTACTTATAGATGCGTTACTATCTGGATCTACACGCGCACAGTTCTGGGAACGCTATCTGTTGGAAAACGGCGAGAACTTATTCAAGGTCCTAATATAAATACATGGAAAGATAAAGGCCTCTATAGAATGTCGCTAATTTGCCCCATCTGCAGCTGTCATTCATTACTCACCCCAGGATTGCCAGCCTATTGCTTCCCCGTCTTTTTGTTGGATGTTTCAGTTATCTAATTTGTTCTATCAGTGTGGTGATTGGCTCTACACCCAAGCTCTGTACCCTGAGGATTGGTTGTTTTTTGTACAGGGCTTTCCTTCCCCTTAGATGACCACATGTTCTCATGCTAATACATTCCATCTACTCATATTTGGGAATTTAGTGTTTTGTTTCTCCTAGACTGATTGCCAGCTAAAATTGAAGAACCCTGCCTTTTAGAGTTTTACCACCAGCTTCCCAGTCACTCTTGAAAGGAAGATCAGAGTTGGTCTTGCTATAGTGCACTCCTGTGCCATGTATGCCATGACCTTAGGGGTCATGTACATTTTGTCCTTTGTCCCTACATGAAAATGTGACTATGGAATTCACACTAGCTCCAGAGGTTCTTTATGGCAAATCTGGAAGCAATAGATCTAAAGCAGATCAAGGAATAGATATAATTTAATAAATATATGGTTTTATTTTTAAGCTTGATTTTGGATCTATTTTTAGATAATCACAGGCGCACACACACACACACACACACATATATATATTTATATATATTTAGGCAGCAATCCTTCGTTTATGCATGTTTCATTAAAAACGACAGACTACAGGTACTACAGTTAAGCTTTTTATTTAATTTTTCTTGTGTTCAAACAAGAAGTTTCTTTTCTGGACAAAGTGTGTAAAAACTGTCCAAATGTTTTATAGTTCCGAGGGCTTTCGCCTATACTTTTAGCCATTATCAAGGATGATCAAAATTTTTCAGCTTAATTGAGTGTGTGCATTATATGTATGTTTTAGTGTGTTGTAGAGCTGTTTTTAATTTCTGAATACAGTTAGCACATTGTGGCCTTGTTTGTAGTTAATATTGTTAAGATTTGGCTAAAATAATAAAAAAGAAAAAGCCAACTCTTAACAATATTAACTATGAACAAGGCCACAATGTGCTAACTGTATTCGAAAATTAAAAACATCTCTACAACACACTAAAACATATACATAAAGCCCACACTCAAGCTGAAAAATTGAATCATCCTTGATAATGTCTAAAGGTATAGCTGAAAGCACTTGGAACTATAAAACATTTGGACAGTTTTTACACACTCTTTGTCCAGAAAAAAAGCTCTTGTTGAACACAAGAAAAATTAAATAAAAGCTTAACCATAGTAACTTGTCTGTCGTTTTTAATTTTATATATATATATATATATATATATATATATATATATATATATATATATATATATATATATATATATATATGTGTGTGTGTGTGTGTGTCATTCTATAAGTAATGTTTGTTTATAGCAAAAGATAGATATATTTCCTATTCTGAAAAGACTAAATGATAATCTATGTTAGAGGATGGTTGTACAATTTCAAATAATTGTCGCAGTATGAATCCACTAACCATAACTCTGATCCTTGTAAAAATAGACGTATCTTTTGAGCACGTAAGAGGTGTAATACCCTGAATTCAAAATTGCAAAATAACCCAAAATATAATCTTTTAGGGATTGATCATTTAAATCAAAGTAATTATCACCAAAGATAGCTTGAAAGATTTAGGAAAAGTAAATTCACATTAAGAGATATCCTACAAACTGGTCATCCTGTTCATTCATTTTTTTTTTTTTTTTTTTAATGATGACCTGCTTTACTTTGAACTCAATAGAAATAGTTTTGTTACAGTTGAAGATAAGTGAATAATTTATTTATTTTTTTTTTTTTTTTTAATTCCAAATGTTTTTTATCTGGTTTTAATATTTACCTTCACTCATTTAAAATTGCTAAATAAATCTTTATTAATAATGGTCCTTGTTTTTTTTTTGTTTTTTTTTCTCGGTTTAGTTTGACAAAATGCAAAGAGAATCTTATATTTAACTTTCATATAGAACCTGTCACTTTGATGGATTTTCTTTTTATCGAAATTCTTCACTTGTTAATTTTATTTCTAGAATAGACTGTTCAATGCTGACATTGGACAGAGTACCAAATATTACTCATTTGCTTCTTGGGGAATTATTGTTTTACACACACACACACACACACACACACACACACACACACACACACACCATCCATCCACTTTCATTATTCTATGACCCAGTCAAATATATTTTAGGTGTTTAGATAAGACAACATAATTTATAATAGTATATAGATTTATCATAAAGAGGGATGTGCTCTGTCAGGCCTACTTTTTACCCAAGACATGTTACAGGTCCCCTACAACTACACTTAGTCATGGGATTGATGATAGATTGATCCCCAATATGCACAATCTATCCAGAAAATATCCAGCCATATCATGTTAACAAAAACAAAAAAAGGTGCCAAATAAAGGTGGGAACAGTCATATTAAATGTGCTAGTTGGAAAATTCAAAAAATTTAATAAACAGTGGAGGGGGGGGGGGCAATAAATAGGGTGATTTTGAAAAGATTAAAAATGGGTCTTTTGAACAATAATGGGACCTTGAAAGAATAAAACTAAAAATAAATGTCATAAAAATGCTTTTGACAAGATCAAAAATATTTCCATGAACTCTTGCCAATGTTACAATAAAAAAAAAAAATGTTGATAGGAAAAGGGTGTCCTAATAATCCATGGTGGTGGGAGTTGGGTGTAAAACAACCCAGAAATTAATGGGGGTGCAACTTTATCCTCTTCAAATTATTCTCTTTAGGACTTAACACACATACCACCACATCCCTTTAATTTTTGAAAACGGTCAGCAAAATCCACAGATTTATTAAATGATGGTTTTATTTAATTTTCCTTAATCTTGTTCATGATATTTCAATGGTGATTGCAGGGAGTTAAATTTTGACTGGGGATTGCAGTTGGTTGGTTGGGGGGATTTTCCCAAGAAATCTTGGCGATGAAATGTTATCTTGAAAAGAAAAAACCTGCACAAGAATTTAAGACTCTACTTGTTTGAGAATGCAATAATAGCACAATATACAATTTCATTCAATGGTGCCTCACTGCCAACTGAGTAATCTAATGGGAGAGTGTTCACGCATACACAATAAATTTTCTTCTTGGTTGGTCGTAAAGTTAAATTGAAATTGTGCAATAAGATTTAGATATTCAATATGGCTGGATACTTTTCTGACTGATCTTGTGCCCGTGTTTTTGGCAGAGGATAAATTTGATAAGACTTAAGTGAATTGATGAAAGACTTTCGATGAAACTCTTTAAATTTTTGATTTTGAAATTTTGTTTTCTTGGTTATTAACAAATCCAAATCCATGTTTGTTATGAGTCATGCAGTGTTATTTGTTTTTGAAAATTAACTTTTCTATGGTATGATGTTTGATTTTATTTCTTTGAGCCTCATTTCTTTTCTACATGACAATGAGATCCAGATTCCTGTAATTAACACTGCGCTCATTTTCTCACCTTGCATAAAAAAAAAAAAAAACTCTAACTGTCATCCTCGTAATAGTTGTCATGCTTTCCTCACTTGTGTCTCCTCGACTTTTTCTTTCATCACACTGACACAAAGTTTTTTTTTTTTTTTTTGATATCTGTGGAAATATTTAATAGAAACTCTAGAAAATTGATCTAGCATTTTTATATACATCTCCAAACTGATTTCCGATTACTTGAGTAACTAATCAGGGTGAAAAAAGTGAGGCTTCATGTTCAAACACCAGTTCCCATACAATCACAAAAGTTAAGCAATGTCGAGCCTGGTCAGTACCTTGATAAATGACTGCTTGGGAATACCAGGAGCTGTAAGCTTGGATGTGCATGCGGTGTAATGGATAATGGCTTGGAATTGTTAATTGGAGAGCCAGGTTCCAATTCCAGTTGGGTTTGTTATATTCACTTATTTGCAAATACCTTTGGGAAAAGTATGAATTCACCTCTTCTCCCCAATTACGGGTTAATTAAGACTTGTATCACTAACCCATTATTATCTAAAAAAAAACAAAAAAAAACGAAAAAATTCTTACAATCTAAAAATATTTTCTGGCTTTAAATAATCTTCAAAGGTATGATAATCTGTAGAAAACGAAAATCTATCATTTTCATTCAGTTAATTTCCATGTCTCTGCCTGAAATTATTCTGAATTAGAAGTTTCAAACTTTGCATGCTAATTGTTTTTGTCAACCTGGTATACTTGCTTGTATCAGCTTGACATGTTCCCGCATACCAATGATCTTTGATTCAAGTCATTAACACACATAATCAGACATAAGCAATTATGGGCAAACATGGGTCTTCATGCCGAAGAAAACAAAAATGAGTGTTTAAAGGACAGTTATTCCCATGACACTGCTATTATTTTAACTACCTTCAATCTTCGACCATGTTTCTTGTTTTAAAAAGTGATGATTTAATAAAACCTAAACATATGATGAAAGTGAATTTATACTTTTTTTGTTCTTGAGAATCAACAACAAAAATATTTATTAGATTGTTTATTTACAAGAATAATTTTATATTTACAGCATTCTAAAAACTAATACAATTTAATACAATTCAACATTTATCATTTACTAATTTATAAAGAAATATAAAAAATTTTTTATTCATAAATCTATAAACATTTATTAAAATATGTGAACAAACTATAAGGAAATCCTTAATTACCATTTTATAAAGTTTTAATCAATTGGCAATTGGCTGATGTTTTGCCAACCATTCCAATAAACAATATAATATCATTTTTGTTGTCAATTCTCAAGAACTAGGAAAATGTAGAAATTTACTTTCGTTATATGTTTAGTTCCATCAGATGTGAGAATGCTGGAATTAAAAACCAGTTGTGTAACCACGCACAGAATAATCCTTGAAACAAATGGAACTACATTTGAAAGTACTGGGTGGGGGTGTTAAATAAAAGTTAATATGAATTTTTGACAAATTTACCAATAACACAAAACAACTTTTTTTTGAAATTTGAAAGATTTAATAAAAAAAACTGATAGACAGAACTTGTACATATTATTTAACAAAACATGTTTGAGATATATATAAGAAATATTATTTACTAATTATATGAAATTATTTGTTTTGAGATTAAATTTAGTTAATTGTTATTAATTTCACTGTTTTAATAAAATAAAAATCAGGGATACCAACTCGAACATGTGTACTCACTAAATATCACATTTATAGTAATAAGAAATAATGGTAGATTAAAAAAAAAATCCATTTGAAAGAGAAAAAAAAAAAAATTGTTTCCAGTACAAAAATGAAGCTATCAGATTTAGCTCCGTAAAAGTTCCAAGAGATGTGTATTCCCTTAAATTGCTTTATCCAGGTAGTCCCCTGTCTCTAAATTGGTAATGGCACAATTATAAGAGTGGTTTCCTGGTGGAAAAAGGATACAGGTTCAATTCTTGTTAGGAGGTACATTTTTCTTTAATAAGACTACTTGATCTAAGTTGATTTGTTTACATAGTAGAGAATAAATCACTCAATATGTCAGTACATTATTGGATGTTACTATAGTATATCTACTGTCCATTTTCTACTATAGTATGATATCTACTATTCATTTTCTTCTATGGTATTTACCAATTGTTGGAAGTATGAAATATGTTAGGGTTAAAGGCAGTGAACAGGTTATGTATTAAAAATCATTGACAATTTTTTATACAAAACAAAAGAATCATCAAATCCTGATTTTAATCTTTGTAAACAGGTCATTGTTTTTCCTGAGCATTTTCCAGCAATAATGAGTGCATCATCCTTTATGGTAGGTCGCAAATGCCTTGGTAGATATCATACTATATAGTAGCACCCATTAATGTTTGACATTTTAAGAAATGTCAGTTGGTCCCTCATGAAAGAACAGTTTAATGAAAAACTGCATTTACAACATTTCATGTAGATGCTGAAAAGAACATCAGGAAGAGGCCAACTGTCATCTTTTAGAACAGACTTGTAGGATGTAAAATCCGTATCCACAGAAGTGGAAAGTCTGGTTTGGCAGATCATATGTTGAAGGAGATTTAAATAACAGACTTGCTGATAGAAAGTAAGAAAGCTGAAAGAATCAGTATACATGAGCCAGTGTGGATTTTAATGTGGTATGGCTTTTGTGTATGAATAATGTGACAGAGAGCAGAAAGTGGAATTGAAAAGCGAAGTGCAAATTCTGGGCTAATTTGTTTCACTTTTGCACTAATGTCCCCAAGCTATAGGTTGAATAGCAATGTAGACTGGACTCTGTAACTTTGGTTAGTAACCAGTCTAAAACAAGGAAAATTATAAATTACACACTCTGCAGAAGACAACCAGAAACTACTTTGCTATCTTTCCCAAGAAGGCATAGTGATTCACATATAAAGAGGAATCTGTGGAAATCTTAATCACCTACATTTTAAAGGCACATGGCATCTTTTTTGAAAAATGCCTTTTATTGCTCAACAGGAATACAGTATAGAATTCTTTATTTAACAAAAGTGACTGAATATCTTCATAATGATAAAAAAAAAGGTGGAACATCTAGTGCTGCAGGAGTTGTTAAAACTAGAATAATTTATATAGCACATTTTGCTGTTAGCATTTACATTTTCTGTTTATAATCATTTTTTGCTTTGCATTGCAAAGGAAATAAAAGTGGGGAGCATATGTTTTTCATATGGCTAATACATCTTAAGAAGGCTGTAGAATGGATTTTTGTAAATATGAACATCCAAACATGACATTATGATAACTAAGAGTGGTAACTATAATACATTTGAAGTTTATTGGTAATTTTCTAACATTTCCTAACCAACTGTTTTTGTAAGACTATAAAAACCAAAGTACCTAAAATTCAATATACTTTTTTTAGTATTATGTGATAGTTAAACATCTTTTTTTTTTATATAATTTTTATGTTGTATTCATCACATAATTTTATTACAATTATCTCTCCCTTACATAAATTAATGCCAGTAAATTGTTAAGTATCAGAGGCTTTGTGCATTTACATGTTTAGTTATTTAATAAACTCAACTCACTCCAATAAAATCTATATGTACTTATTTCTTAATGGAGATAACTCCAGCTACATTAAAATAATCTGGAATTATATAAATACAAAGTAGTTTCCTGTTGAAAATAATTATAATAATAGAAACTGACTTAATGTTGAGCTTAAATGTCATCCCTGGCAGCATTTAAGCAAATAAAACAAACAGTATTCATAAAACTTGAAATGTTTTCACCATTACTTTTTTGTATTGTTTCTCTTGTTTCAGATTCAATTTCACTTGAACAAACACACACACACACAATAAAAATGAGTGACCAGGTTAAACGGATTGACGAGATTGCTTACTTTTACACCAAGTTATGTCTCAAAACAATTCCTGCCATGTATTGACATCTCTCATTGATACATTAGTAGAGATGTCCAGCATTGCTCAGGAAATAATTTTGTCTAAATAATATGACAGGCACATTTCATTTTATTTGTACAGATTATTAAAATGACTAAGTGAAGTAACCATGAATTAATTTAGTATCAAAAGTTGATTTGCCTCCTTTACTACAATAGGTTTACATGAGAATAACTATTTATCTTTCATGACATTCACAATTGACCTAGGTTAACTTTATATAGTCTCTGACATTTCCAGTGTCATAGCTCATCTGCATGCCAAGTTTGGTAGTTTCTGAGTCTATATTGGATAAACAAACACTTCATTTTATTATGTAAAACTACTCTATAATTGAATGGAAGATATTGAAAAAAAAATCCATCAATTAAAGATATTGTAGATTATGTTAGAAAGAAAATTTTAATTATTGCTATGTTTCAAGCAACAAAAGATATTATTCACTAAGAAAAGCAAAATGTCAAACTGCAATCATACAAGGAAATATCTAGAAACACTTTAGCCTGGTTAAGAAAGAATCAACATGTTCAAAAATATATTTTTATGGGGGGGGGTTAAGCAAATAGGAATATAAAAATTTTGAAACTTATCTCATAAAATAGTTTCTTTTCTAATTTCTCATTTTACTTGCTATATAATTTAATTCATTTAAAATTATATTGAGTATTTTGATTAGCTCATAGATGTTTTTAATATTATGACTGATATTATTTTTATAAATTGAGCTTTGGGTGTATGTGTGGCCTGATGATTGCATTTAGCATGACACAGACTGTTGCCTCTGGGTGTTAACTTCAATGTTCATTTTTTATATATATATATATATATATATATATAATCAAGAACAGTATTGTGGACAAATGTATGACAAAGTGGAAAAAGTTTTCTTGTGAAGCATTTTACCCTTTCTATTATCACAGTGTGGGATATCTATTAACAAAAGTGAAAAAAAAAAAGAATCTAAATGAAATTGGCTACATTTAAAAAAAAAATAAAAAAAAAAAAAATTCCCAGCATCTCTTATGTATAGTCACACCAATATAACAAATCTAGCTCAATGAAGTCCTAACAGATAAAACAAAACATGTCAGAAAACTTTTTCCACATTGTCATACATTTTCCCCATATATATATATATATATATATATATATATATATATATATATATATATACATACAGGCAACAGTCTGTTTCATGCTACGCCATGTCGTCATTGGCCTGATGATTGCGTCTAGCATGAAACAGACTATTGCCTCTAAGTGTTGATTTCAATGCTCACTTTTATATTTACACACGCTCAATTTCTGATATTGAGCACTTTATCCCATAAATATAGCACATCTTAAGACTATATTTCTTCATTCATATATATATATATATATATATATAGTCATCCA